TCGTTTATTTCGTTAATAGTTGCTATTATTACTTAGCATCGTCACCGCAAAATAACGGTATTATTAATGAGCCAAAAAGCAACGATTAATATAACAGTAATTGAATTTTTGAATTTATTATTAGTAGACAATATAGATCCGATCAAGCTTACGACTTCGGTAACGATTTTTCGAAGTTGATTATAAACGCGCACGATAATATGATCAGGTTTATAATAAGATTCGATAACGCGGACGGGCAAAAATTCGGACAAGTAAAAATCGATAGTATCGCGATTATTCTCGGCGCCGGCATCGCGATTATTCAAGCGCGCTAAGAGAACGTTGTCGATTAGCATTTTCGTCCCGTCGCGGTGAAGTCAATGATGTTAAAGGCACAGGCAGTTTCACGTGGCACCGCGTTGGCGCTTTAAGGAGCTATGAGCTTGAATACCGTTTGAAAAGCTTTAAAAGTGAGTGAGCGAGCGAGTGGGTAAACAAACGCCGGGGTTGTTTACCCTTCTGAGAATGTAGACTAGAGCAGGTTGGCCCGAAGAGAGAGAGCCGGAGGCATCCGCGTTGCGTACTTTCCTCCGCCATGACCTATCCTATTTCATTGTCCCCGATATTTCCACGATCTCTCTTTCTTTCTTTCTTCCCTCCTTTTTTTCTCCTTCGACTACCCTCGTCAAAAACCCTGTCTCTCACGAATGTGGAGATATTTCCACGACTGAGACGGTGATTGTTCATTGATGATCCCCGATCAATTAAGCGGCGATCTCACATTCTATCGCTGCTGTCGATAAGTGACTAATTGAGAAGCAGAAACACGCCGGTCGCATCTATTTTTCATCGTCCTCCCCTGTTATTCCGTCTCCCGCTTCATTCTTTATTTTGGGACATATCGACGCGCGTATTGAAATCTCGCGGGTCGCGCGCTCGCCCTTTCGCGCAATGTCGAAGGGCGGCCTCGCTTGTCCTTTCCCCTTATGAGAGAAGGCATTCCAGATGACGTCGCAAAACGCGTCATTAAGGGAAGGAGAGCAAGTGTTGCTTAGGAGCGACGGTGAAGATGACGACGAAGACGACGACGGATAGCCGATGTAATTATTTCAAGGCCACTGAACGCGCGATCGAGCGAGGCACTTCGCATCGGATCATGCTGCTCCAGTGATCCTGAGGCGTCGCTAATCTCCGATCCTTCCCGCGAAAGCGCACGTAGGACCTTCCCTGCTTCCTTCCTTCCTTCCTTCATTCCGTCTTTCCTTCCTTCCTCTCTCCCTCCCTTCTTTCCTATACGTACCGATAATCGTCGCGACATCGAGCAGCGTTATCCGCTACCGATTTACCTAGACGGAAGAGACGCAGCGCGGAAGTTCACTCGGCAGCTCGCCGACAGTCGAGGGAATTAACGCCCCGGGGATTCGTCGTGTCGTGACTTTATCGCGCGCGATCGCACAATCGATACCTGTCGGGCTGCGAGACGACGACGCGGGCGCGACGATAAGGCCCGGGCTTGTCGCGCGCGCTTTATCGGGATTAACGACTTCTCGCGCGCGCTTCAAGGCGGAACGGAGGCGCCCGTTTAGTCGGCTAACCGATTAAACGAGGTGTCGAGCGCGATGTAAAATCTAGCGCGACACTCGCACGACGGAATCAGAAAGAGTACCCCGGATTTTCCTTAACTTCTCCGCTTCGACCGGTGTGCCCGAATTGTCAAGGCTCTCACAGACACTCTCAAATCTCCGAACCCCTCGTACTTTTAGGAATCCAGAGCAATTTTCTTGGATTTCTGATTTTCTCAAATTTTCCTTGGATAATACTTATCTATACATTTTTCTCAAGTTTTCGCAATTCTGAAATCTCTCGCGCGATATCAATGAATAATATTTTATCTTACATTCAAATCAATCATAATTTTAATTATATCCGTTCATTATAGATCTATAGAATTCGTTTCGATTTATTATAACCTTGGTTATATCTCGTAAATTATGGAGATATAACATTATGGAGATTTAATTCTGCAAAAACCGTAAAAAGTCACAATGATTATTAATCGCTAGTAGGAGAGTGTAACGCGAATGCTAATGCGAAAATTAAGTTAGGCAAGTCGATTAATACGGTTCGATTTGCGTCTATCCGCCGTAACTGGTTCGGGCGTGTTTAAGGACGTCGTTAGGTGAGGTATAATAAGGCAAAGGTGAACTCAAAGTTCGCTATTAAGCGCGCGACTACGCGCGAGCGCGATAAATTTCCTGAAGACATCGAGCATACTTAAGTTATAAGTTATAAATTACAAGTCTTCACACGCTCGGTTAAGTTTCCAGGAGACCGTAATTAAAGGGTAAGATTTCTGTGAGGCTGTTTCGTCGCGAGATAATTATACGTCTGACCTACTTTCGACGCTTTACGTCAACATCCCCTTTCAAGATCGGAATAATTTATAAGCGTATCTGCACATGACATATAATTTTTAATGGCGCACAGTCGCACTGAGCAATACTATATCCGTGATATATCACCTTCGAATTTCTCTCTCTCTCTTTTTCTCTTTTTCTTCTTCTTCTCTCTTACACGTACTGTCTTTATACAGGATACTTATATATCCGATATTTTTCTCAGAATCCGTGATGTGCAGATAAAATAGGTAAAATTGAACAGAAAAGTCACGTACCATTTTGCAAAATTCACAATAGTTAATAAGGAATTCATTAATTTGTACGAGCTAATGAGCGTACGGGAAATAGTAGGCCGGACTCTGTATAAAGAAAAATGTTTTTTTTTAATGACTTATTTATGAAGATCTCTTAGCAACGATGAATATCAACTGATAACGAGAATCATGTTTCTTTTCGGCGCGCAGCTTTGTATGCCGCTCGCTGCGTTACTCCGCCTCAAGAAATCAGTTGATACTCATTATTGCAAGGAGACCTTCAAAAATAAGTCATTTTTCTTTATACAGAGTTCGGCCTACCGCTTCCCATGCTCATTAGCTGATTAATTAATTCCTTATTAATTATTGCGAATTTTGAAAAATGGTATATGACTTTTCTGTTTAGTTTCATCCGTTCTATCTGCACACCGCGGATTCCGAGAAAATTATCAGACAACCTGTAGATGTCTCAGAGTAGGAGACAATCTTTTACCGATACGAAAGACAATAACGGTAAGATAACAGAAATTGCGAATCACTCGTATCGTGCAAGGATGATGCATGTGAATATCCGTCAATCCGGATGTTTCGGAGCGTTACCGCTCCGCCACCGATCATCTCTCGAATGAGGGACGGACGAGGTCGTGGTGCAGTTGACCGTCATTCGATGCCTGCCAATCACCGGGAACAGCGCGTTCCGATTGTTCGCGGTGCAATTACGAGGGTAGACGTAAAAAAGGGGGTTAGGGGAGGCAGGGTGGAAGAGAGAAAGAGCTGTCACGTGTCGCGGCCACGGCGGAGCGTCAAACAAATGACTCCCCTCAATTTGGCACATTCAGCGTGTAGCTTGTTGCGTGCCCATTCATCCCGCGATACCTCATCTCGCGCGTCAGGTCGTATGCTCTTGCTATCCCCTCCCCCCCCCCTCCTCCTTCTCTGACCGCCCTAACACGTGCCTTTACGCATGTAACTCGCGCGCACTTGTAAATACATCGTTCTGTTACAGCGATCGTACGACGCTTGAAGGCGCGCGTGTGTGTGTGTGTGTGTACAATTTTGTACATCGAATATACCGTCTGGTCAGGAATATAAAACGACTCCATTGGCACATTAATAAACTGGTATTGACGATATTATTTTCCCTAACTTGTAGATAAATAAATTTGCCCTGATTTACTTCATCCGCGCGTTATCTTCGTATCACGTCTGGCAATGAGAAAAATCACGAATGATAAGAAATCAATAGGAGTTATTCGACAAGTGAAAATTCTTTCAAGGAGATGAAAAGCTTTGAAACGAGAAACTGAGGGTATAATATGTGAAATACGTTATACGTTGTACATTATCCGAGTCTCTCCCGTACTAAGGAGTAAAAAGTCGACTGCAAATTCTCCGACGGATCCTCCTCTAGCCGAGAGGAAACGCGATAGTCGCCGTCGGGACACACTGCGAGCGATACACACGCGCAAAGAACACGACATAAAGCGAGCTCGTGCGCGCGCGCGCGCGATACACCGTAAACGGGTACACCGAAAACGCCGGGACGAAGTAGCGGCGGTCTCGTCGGCGGTGTTGTGTACACTTATTTAGCGTGTAAACACTCACGGGGTTTGCCAGAGGAGCAACAAGTGCCCACTGATACCACCGAGAGTAGCTGGCTTTACACCTCGCCCGTACACAGGATACACACGGAAAGTCGCCGACGGAGGCGCGCCCGCACTCGAGCTGAATACCTCGAGTATTCTGGCGAAGTAAGAAGCCACCATGACCGGAATTCTCGCCTCGATTTAGCGCCGTCCTCGACACTTAACGCGCGATCCCCATGATCTCGAGATTTATCGGCGGCAGAACGACGATCGCGTTTTAACGTCGAGTCGGAGTAGGAATGCACTCGACCGCACTCAGCGACGAATCGCTTTTCTCCAGACATTATCTCGTGAAAATTTTACTTGTCGCGAAATTGTAAAGGACTACTTAATAATTACGTCAAGCTAAATTTGAATATTTTGTTTCCCTTTCCAATATTACGTAACATGTAGAATTACTCCCCTGTTGATACATAGAATAAGAAAAATAACTTATAACCATATTGTGAGTAATAATTATTAAACTGCACACTATTATTTTTTTCTAAGATAAAAATAATTTGTAAGCATGTAATATCAAATTATTTAAATGAAATTAATATTTTATCTTATAATTTTGATCAGCAAAAGTTCTGTTTTTAAAAGAATAAATATTAAAAAATTAACATTTTGATTATTAGCACAAAACTGTCAGAACTTAGACATTTTCAAATGTAATCAAATGTGTTACGAATGCAAACAAAATAACCATGCGCATCCATATTTATAAGTTATACCACCTAATATGATGTTCCACGGTCTTGACGATCTCCCTCCCCGCCATCACAGACCATCACGCAAACTAACAGACCTCCCTCTCGTAGTGTGACGTAATTGTTGAATAGCCTCTTAAAGTGACCGCTGTATTTCGATTATTTTCAGGATGTATCGTCGTAACTGTAAATAACAGAATTTCGAATACCGCGTCTCGCGCCGGTGTAAAATGAGAGTCGCCCAGTCACATTGTACGATAAATTATTATTTTTTTCTCTCTGCCACCGCGAGAGAGTATTATTTCTCGGTCATAAACACTTCGGCCACGCGGACCTCGATTTCTGGCGTATTGTTTTACCGTGAATCTACGACATTAATAAATACCAGCGGAACTGTGAACGCTACGCGCGCACGCCTCGCGATAAAACCGCGTGTACGCGCCCCGTCCTTCGTCACGGACGAAGGGGATCTATATTTCCCGCGAATGGCAGCCCATCTGGTCCGAGAGAAATTATATTAAGTGCGCCGGGCGAGTTGATCGATTTTCGCGCGACGAATGCCGGAGTGCTTCGACGTTATGTATGGACGCCATAACGGGAGAGCGTCTTCTCGCTCCTCGGCCGGGATCGCCGCTAAGCAGGATCTCCCGCTGGCGGTTTTTGGCAAGAAGCCTCCGCGTCTCGTTTCTCGTGGCGAGAACAGGAGTGGACGACGGTGGACCCCGATATCGTGCGTCGACACTGCCAACAGGCTACTTTCCCGCGCCGGAAATACGGGGTCCCGGTGGACACCCGGCGATTCGAGCTTCCTATTGCTGTCGCGATCATTCCGCGCACGGCGTTATAAATCGGCGCTCGTGTACGGCTTATAAAGTTCGCGTTTGTGGAACGGGATATCGGAAGGATACGCTGCCTTGCGATTCCTTCTTGTACGGGCCGGTCCGTTGTGGAACGCCGACGAAAGCACAGCGACGTCCGAAAATTCGCGATATTTATTAACGGTCCTCGAACTCACGATAACGCGATCACCGTGGATTATTTATCGGCGGAGACACGACGGAAATTACGGGGGAAAGTGAGGCGTTCGTTTTCTCCTCCCGGTAGCAATGAAACGGAAATGATGATCGATGGTACTGTCGCGAAGGAGAGCCTTCTCGCGGACGCCACTCGAGGAGATTTGAGAAATCGCCCCAAATTTTCGCGCGCATGCGTGCCGGAAACGAAGTCGGGGGTCCGGCGGCCCGGATTAATACATTGTCATCGATATCGTTAAACGCAAAACGATCGAGCTGAATGATAGATGGATAAATTAGAGTTGCGTCGGTCTACGCGATTTGTGCGCGATTAATATTGCAAATTATGGCAACGCGCGCGCGCGCGCGCGAGCGAGCATTGGGAGAAATTAAACCGTGCCAATTAAACAAACGCGGCGCACTGCTGAAACTTTCATTAGCTCCGATCGCGAGATTACATCTAGACAAGAAATTAGCGGCGGAATAATTCATGAGAGTGTCCCGTCAAAAGATGTTCTTTCCCGTCCACGCGGCCGCGCTATTCCCCCGCTTCGGATATTATTTTCCACGTGGTGGGGCACTTGTGCATAAATGTAATGTTAATTAACACGCACGCCGGGCGACGTCATAACTTGGTGTGGATTTCACATCGGGGTCGAGTGGGTAGAACTCAAGCGCGTACACACTCAACGAAATACACGGCGCTTTAACCGTTTCGTTTGCAAGCGCGTTGTTTAATGCGATATCAATTTAAATCGTTCGTGCCAAATCGAAACAACAAAAAATACAACAACGCCGAATAAATTAAAACGCGAGAGAAAAGGGGAGAGAGGGGGGTGAAGGGAGGGAGAAAGCAGTGCGTTACTTTACGGATTTTCCAGTAAATTAGCTCGCGCACGGAGACGTAATAATTCGCAGTAGATCTCGCGTCCCAGTTGAAAAGTACAATCCGCACGGTCGCCCCATAAAGCGCGCGCAGCTTTTATTTTCGGAGCTTAAACGCCGACGACGAGCTTGCTCTTCGCAGTAAGTTTAAATTACTCCCTATCCTCCATTTGATCTCCGCGACCGGCCGCTTACCTTCACACTAATTGACTTAATTTCTGCACTGATTATGCCGGTTATTTGCAGCCCCGCTTCAAACATCGCTAAACCGAGATCCGCGCCCGGGAGAGCGCTGGATATATTCTCGGACGGAATCGCATTGAGTACCGCGCGAGTCGCGGTCTCGTGTCAAATGGAACGACATGATGCAGTTTATAACAATAATTTTGTCGGAAATATATTTTGTAGCGTCACGCCATATTTTCTGTTCGATACCGCGGCGTCGGATTAAGCTCCGTGGTAATCGAGGATCTCGTGGTCTTTCTACAAAATTATATACATTACATTCGCCACGCCGGCAAATCTGAACATTTTTACTTGTTAACCAGGAATATTAAATATTTTGATTATTACCAACTTTAAATAATTTAATATTCTCAGAATATTTGACCCCAAAAATCCTAGATATTTTTCTCTCGATAGTTGGATATATTATAAAGATTAGTTATGTTTTTACAATATTTTTAAAGAATCGTGCGAGGTCTGTGGACGCATCCCGCGATATTAGGATCAAACAAAATAGTCCCGCGCGTCCAAAATGGACGCCTGGCTCTCCTAAGAAAGTGGAAGGCAGAACTTGGAGAAAAGGTCATTTTTGCCCTTCGTGGGGGGATTCTCTAGTCTGGCAAACTTTAAATTACATTCGAAGGGACTGTCCTCCGGCTGTCGAGGCTGCGAAGGACGAGTTCGTCCTCGCGGCAGCCGTCATCGGTTTCCCTTAATTTATATAGACGAAGACGCTTATTCGCGCCGCGCTGCTTTCCCCGGACCTCCTTCAGTAGAAAAGGAAAAGGAGGTGGTGGAAGAGGAGGAGGAGGAGAAGAAGGAGCAAGAGGAGAACCATCAGCTATATTCCCGGAAGTTAACTTTCTCCCTGATTGACGTTCGGTTATTGTCGGCATTTGCATAACTCGTCCTGCTCGCTCCTGGCGCGCTCTTTTCCGGGCGAACCTCGAAGTAACCGAGAGACAAGACCGTCGAGGTAGGGCGCGACGAAAGAGAAGGACGACGGGGTGGAGGAAGGTGACGATGAACGGTGGTGGAAGAGAAAGAGAGAGAGGTCGTGGAGGAGCAAGAGAAGAATGCGGGAACGGCCGCGTGTCAAATCGAATTTGCCTCATTTGCTCTGAGCGGCGACTCCGCGCCAGCAAGAGAATCTATTAGAATAATTTTTATGAATCTAATTTTAAATTCCGGCGAACGAAGTTACTTTACTGTCACGCTGTCAGCGGCTCTTTATTAAGTGGTCCTCCTTGGTGGCGCCGTGCTCACCCTCCGCCACTACGACCTCCTCCTCACCATCACCCCCGCCTCAACCCCTCCCGTGTCGCGCCACCGTTCGCGACCTGTCACCCATTGGAAAGGAATAATTTAAATAATTTCCCACCTAATTCCTCTCTGTCCGACGTCAACGAGAGGAGGCGCGAAGGAACGAGAGTAGCGAGGCCTGCCCTTTCTCCCCGAGCGAGCGAGCCAGATTTCGCGGGACGACGACGATTGTCGGAAGTCTTCTCCATGTTATTTAAATTTCGTATTATAAACGCGCGATTACTCGAGCGCCCGTCTAATGTGCGGTTAATTGCAACGTTTGAACGAGCGAGCGTAACGAGAGACGGGAGGGAAGAGGGAGCAGAGAGACACCGTGTCTCGCAACTTCTACTTCCGCGATTCTCCCTGCGCGAATCGACGAACTCTCGTTGACGCGGAGCGTCGCCGTCTGACACGAGGAAACGTGTCGCGCGAGCTGTAAGTTAGCCGAGAATATGCTGCGTAATTCTCCCCGGCAACGTGGATTACGCGAGAGTTGGCATTATCGAGATTATCTGTGCCAGTGTTACACGCACTATCTCGTACGGGCGAGTCACTTAAAAAAATATTGATAGTCTGGCCGCGAGAACGAATGAACGTCAACTCACGCGAAGAGAGGCTCGATCTGCGGTATCTCTTCGGCCAATTGGCTGGCTTTACGTCACCCATGCGGTTACTTCACCACGCGTGTACTTCGTGCACACGCGCACGGAAGCACAATGCGTTTAACACACGTGCGTAACGGTCATCCACCCACGATATAAAGATACACACACGCGCACGATCGAATTCGGCCTTGATAGATACGCCGCACACGCCTTACGCTTTTTACATCGAGATACACAGCCGATATACTTTTCCGATCGCCATATACGTGTCGCCTAATCATTTTATCGTGTAAGCTGATAAACGAGCCGAACGGTGTCTGCGGAGTAGTAGTGCGAGTTAACGATAATCAGCCGTTTATTTTAAAACCGTAATTAATCGTCGCTTCGACACGCGCGATACGTTTCAGGGAAGAAAGGAATTAGCTGCCCTATAATGCAACTGAAAATTAATTACCAGACTTACTTTTTTGCTGTAGGAGCTGAAAAAATTAGATACAGGAGAAAAAAATATTAGCTGAATTAACTATTTTCAGTTGTATTACAGCTAATTTTTAACTGTGGGAGTCAATTCTTTTTTTTCCATGTGGCATCTTAGATATAAGAGTGGTGCTTAGAAGTTCCGTCGGGGAAATGTTCGCTCCAGTATTCAACGTGAAGCAATAAATATCGAACGATAAGAACACACGTGTCTCGTGTCTCTCCGTCGTCGAATAAACCCAAGCGAGATGATTAAAAAAAAAAAAAAAAAAAAAAAAAAAAAAAANATAAAATTCGCGACGAATCTCGCAGCATCTTCGAGGATGACGCTTAACTCCTTAGAATTTTCCACGTCGTGAACCATTTTCTCGTCGTCATTCAATCGTTCTCTCGCGCTGGAGAACCGAGAGGAGAGCGTCCCCTTCCTCCCTTGATAAGGTGGGTATGATAAACGGTGCGTAGAGTTCCACCGGGCAGCGTCTCGACGGCCTATATTCGCGGCTTATTTTAGAACTTCACCGAGTGGAGCCAAGCGTGCGTGTATGCCACGGGTGTGCACGCATGCACCGATTGCGACTCGCTGGACATTGTATGTGCGTGCGTGTTTGCTTGCGTGCGTACGTATGTACAAGCGTGCATGCGTGCGTGCGCACGTACGTGCGTACGTGCGTGCG